GTTAGGAGTGGACCTGCTGGAGAGCAGCTCTGTGGAGAAGGACCTGGGAGTCCTAGTGGTCAGCAAGTTGACCATGAGCCAGCAAGGTCCCCTTGTGGCCAAGAAGGCCAATGGCATCCTGGGGTGCATGAAGAAGAGTGTGGCCAGCAGGTCGAGGGAGGTGCTCCTCCCCCTCTACTCTGCCCTGATGAGGCCACGTCTGGAGTGCTGTGTCCAGTTCTGGGGCCCCCCAGTTCAAGAGGGACAGGGAGCTACTGGAGAGGGTACAGCAAAGGGCTACAAAGATGATGAGGGGGCTGGAGCATCTCTCTTACGAAGAGAGGCTGAGGGACTTGGGCCTTTTTAGCCTAGAGAAGACTGAGGGAGGATCTTATCAATGCTTATAAATATCTGAAGGGTAGGTGTCAGGAGGATAGGGCCAGGCTTTTTTCGGTGGTGCCCAGTGACAGGACGAGAGGTAGTGGGAACACACTTGAACATAGGAGGTTCCATCTAAACGTGTGGAGGAACTTCTTCCCTCTGAGGGTGGCAGAGCACTGGAACAGGCTGCCAAGAGAGGTTGTGGAGTCTCCGTCCCCAGAGACATTCAAAACCCACCTGAATGCTGTCCTGTGACACCTCTTTTAGGTGATCCTGCTCTGGCAGGGGGGCTGGACTAGATGATCTCCAGAGGTCCCCCCCTTCCAACCCCTACGATTCTGTGAACAAACTGGGGCTCTGACCCCTGCACGCTCCTCTTTCTGGCAGGCCAGGCTCAGTTCTGCCCACTCAGCGGTGCCACCCTGTCGTCTCTCCTTAGGTTCACTCCCACTACCGACGCAAAACGCACAAGCCAACGAGGCTGCACGTCCCAGAAGAGTTTCACAGCCGGAGCCCCCGGGGCAGCCAGCAGGTCCCTCGTGAGAAGATGGAGCTCTTCGCGGTGCTCTGCATCGAGACCAGTCATTACGTCTCCTTTGTGAAATACGGCCCCGAGAACGAGCACTGGATGTTCTTCGACAGCATGGCCGACAGGCACGGTGAGGACACGGTGGGCGGGCTCGGAGCTTGGATCGCGGCCCAGCACCGCGCGGTGGGCGGCTGCGAGAGTCTGCCATTGCGTAGGTGCTGGGCAGTCCACCTTTTCCTCTGAAGCCCCCTGCACAATTTAGGCTCTCTCTGGACCCTGCTTCCAACAGTGACCACTTAAGTAGACCCTAGAGAAGACTATGGCCAAGCCAAGCAAGTGTGAGTTCCTCCTGGTGCGTTGTTCTCTGGCTGCGTTCAAACAAGGGACTTGTTGAGCCAGCTGGGACGGGCCGAGGACCCCTCTGTCCTTCCCCACTTTGTTCTTGGCCTCCAGGTCTCCCAGCTAGGGCGCTATGATAATGTTGAGCATGATGGGATTTACTTGAGCTGTAGGGACTTGTCCTTTGTGACCTGATTTGGAGTTTTCTCCTTCTTTCCGGGTTAGGGGATGAAAACGGCTTCAACATTCCCACGGTGACGCTGTGTCCTGAAGTTGCCAAATACCTCCACTTGCCGCTGGCCGCGCTAGCCCTCGAGCAACCTCGGGACATGGATGGAGTGGCCAAACGCCTCTTCTGTGACGCCTACATGTACATGTACCAGAGCAAGAAGATGGCACTTTACAAATGATGCTGCCTCGGGCTGGTGCCACCAAGCAGTGAGGCGTCGGAAATGTGAGCTTGGGTCAACCCTGCAGCCCGTCATCGGTGAGAGCAGCCGAGTCTGGGTGCCCCGAGCTTCCACTTCTGCCTCTTCTTACCTCTTCCAGTGTCTGGTATCAAACTATCCACGTCAGCCTGCCTGGGTTTGTTAAATCCTCCACCTGGCCTTATCAAGTGATCATTGGTATTTCTGGCAGACCTGGACTCTGAATTATTTATGCTCCAATTCATTCTCATTTCCTATCTTCCCTTTCCACTTGCCTTCCTCCCCAGGCACTCAGCAGCTCTGCTCTACCTCAGAGTCCTCCCCAACATCTTTTTCTCCCCTTCCCTCCAAAGCTGAGGACCAGCATCTAATCAAAACATGAGCGGTTATCCTCAGGTTTGCAAAGAGCCCAAGAAAACCGCAGCCTTGCCCTGCGTCAAGACATCCTCATGTGGCCTCGCGGGCTGCAAAAAGCAGGAGGGGTGAGCAGCACCGGTGTGGTTCGGAGATGGGTCAGGACGAGGGGTTTTCTTGAGGTCTGGGACATGACCCCACACTTAAAAGCTGGGTCCCTGAGTTGTCTGCGCATTCCTTATCCAGCACTAATACTCTGGCACTTTTACCATGAGGTTAACTGGATGGCTTGAGCTGCAAATATGCTTTTAAAAATACATAGTTTTGTAAGAAAAAAAACTGGAAGAAAGATGGAGCAGAGGAACAGCGCGTGAGCTCCTTATGCTTCCTCTTTTTTTTTTTTTGCAAAGTCTGCACTATTGTGACATGATTGGGTGTTTTCACCTCCCTTTTAGCACTTACTGGCCCATCTTTGCTTCTGAGATCTGTGTCGAAGAGCAAGAACAGAATTCCAAGGGAAAAAAAAAAAAGGAAAAAATGAGCACTCTTGGACTTTTCTGCTGTGACTGCAGTAAGGTTTAGGCTCTCTGGGTGGGAACTGGAATTCCTTAAGTTAAATAATTTCAATTTGCAAACTGGGGGGGTTCAGCTATTATGCACATGCTGTCATGGCAGTGGGAAGCTGTTACGGGAGTCCAGGCTATGAACTGGGGCGCCCAGATTCCAGATGGGACTGACAGGACACCAAAGCTTTGAGGGACGCATCCAGGAGCCCCAGATGTGCAGCTGCAATCTCCCTCCTGCTCTTTTTTTCCTCTTTAATGCAAGGTGCAGTAGTTGTAATCTGCGGCCTGTAGCTTTTTATCGGCCCTGTTGGCTTGGGCCACATGGTAACGGGTGGTGGAGGATCTTTTCTGCAGACAGCTGGGGCTGTGGTACGAACTGGGACCTCCACAGCTTGATGGCTTTATCTTCTGGTGTGTCCCTTCTGTATGTGGTGGCTACAACGGGTGGCTGTTGTGTCATGAACCCGGACTGTTAACACACAGCTGATGTTTTGAGAGCGCTGCTTGTCGAGTTCAGCTCCCAGATGACATCTGGGCCTCCACACCGAGTTGACCACGAGGCAGCAATGTGGTAGAGAAGACAAACAATGTCCCCGAGTTGACCACGAGGCAGCAATGTGAACCCATGGTAGAGAAGGTGGACAATGCCCTGGTCTGCATTCAAAGGGTTGCAAGCAGGTCAAGGGGATCCTTCCCTGCTGATCAGGGCACACCTGGAGTACTGGATCCAGTTTTGAGCTCCCCAGTACAAGAGAGATGAAGAGAGTCCAACGAAGGACCACAAAGATGATGGACTGGAGCATCTCCTATGAGGAAAGGCTGAGAGAGCTGGGACTGTTCAGCCTGGAGAAGCGAAGGCTCCGAGAGAGTTCATCAATGTCTAGAAATACCTTAAGGGAGGGTACAAAGAGGACAGCCAGGATCTTCTCCATGGTGCCCAGGAGCAGAGGCCACCAGCACAAACTGAAACACAGGAGGTTCCCCCTGAACATCAGGAAAACACTTCTTCACCGTGAGGGTGACGATCACTGGCGCAGGTTGCCAAAGAGGTGGGGGAGGCTCCATCCTTGGAGATACTCCAAGATGGTCCTGGGCAAAGCCAAAGCACCAGCAGCTGAAGAGTCTCTCTAGGGGTAGGAGAGACGGTGGCAGATCTAGCAACGGCTCATCCTGAGGATGGGTCTGCCCTGCTTGTGAACTGCCTTGCTGAGCTCTGGCCGATCCTCTGTGGCCGTGGAGGTGGCTGGAGGGTGGTGCTGTCTTGCTGTCTGTCCTCATCGACTTAAAAGTTCTTCTTCATTCCTTCTCTCCTACCACCTCAGGACAATCTCTACTCAGGTACGCTGGGGTTTGGGTTTTTGTGTGTCTGGTGCTTCTGCTTTAAAAAATCGTAAGTTTTAATAGCAAAAGCCTCGTTTTCCTGGATATACATATATATATATAAAATTTTTTTTTTCTTTTCCTTTCTTAAAATGCTGAGTGTGAAACAGTGCCCAGAGCTGGAGCATTGCGACAGGGAGCTCCAGCCTCTTGGGTTTTTTGGGTTTCTTTTTTTTTTTTTTTTTTTTTTTTTTTAGAAACAAGAGACCATCAGGATTTACTATTTTCCCTGTTACACACTGGGGCAGGATTAGAGGAAAATACGCAGGTCTCAGAGAAGATTCAGTCTGTGCAGTGTTTCCCCCCCCCAATACCCCATTCCATGCAACAACTTTTCTTGCTCCTGTTTTGATAAAGCTGTCAAACACTCACTGCCTGCACATGAGACATATTCCCAGTGGAGCTACAAGAGGGGGTTTCACTGGAATTAGGGTCATAGGATGCCACGCGGCACCTGCTGGGGCCACCCCCAGCTCCTCTCGGGGGTCAGCACTTGCTTTTTCATTCCAGGTTTACTTGGTTGTAAACCACGAAGTGAAGGATGTTGAATTAAACGTCCAAGCTGAAGGCAACAAGCGTTTTGAAGGACCAGGGCAGCCATGCAGTGGGGTCAGAGTGGGTAAAGGCCTTTATTTTGTTGGGTTTTTCGCTTAGGATGAAGCTACTTGAGGGTATTAGTGCCACACTTCCTCTACGAACATCAGGTTCAAGGTGTCAACCTGGAGCTGGCCTTCATGCTCCTGGGAACATACCCAAAATAGAAAAGAGAGGAAACGTGGCCACAGAGCCAAAGCCTAGAAGTGGAAGGGCCAAGTGCATCTGCCACCACTGTCCCAGAGGACACAGGTTGGCCCTTTCCATGGTAGGACCACTTGTAGTGTGGTCAAGATTTGGTCTCTAGTGCCACCAAAGAGTTGTAGCATGGGCTGTCACCACGGAAGGCACAGGGGGTGGCAGGGCCACCGAGGTGGGCAGCACTGCCATGGCGGAAGGCACAGGGGGTGGCAGGGCCACCAAGATGGGCAGCACTGCCATGGCGGAAGGTACAGGGTTTGGCAGGGCTACCAGGGAGGGCAGGAAAGGATTGTCACGTCCAGAGGACATGGGGACAGCTGCTTCCCAGCTCTGCCTGCCCCATCCCTCTGCCCAGCTTCGCCAGCGGGACCCCAGGATCCTCTTCCAGTTCCTCCACGGTCCTCGGATTAGCACCACGCAGCAGCAACATCAGAACCAGTAATTCCCAGTTAGTCATCCGATCTTCAAAAGAGCGCAGAAGATGAGCCGCTCCCAGGCAGGGGCTGTGCCTGGTGTGGGTGGGCAGGGGGCAAGCAGGCCCCCCCTTTCTGGCTGGCCTGCCGCAGCTCGGGGCTTCTCCGTTACGGCCACCTGGCACAGGAGCAAGAGGGGACGGTGAGCATGCCCCACCGTGCTCCACGGTGGAGCCACATTGCCTTGGCTCAGGCTACCGCGGCCGGGCAGGGTTCCCGGGTGTGTACCGATGGTGCCTGGCAAGCGGCGGACGTACCGGATAGGGCTGTGGCTCGTGGAGCCGGCGGTGAGCGGG